GGAATGCGTTCTGCTTTCAAAGCCGTGAGCATCTCCGAAGCCTCAGGCCCAAAGAAGTAGTTCGACCGCAGCTCCAACTCAAGCGTGTCCTTGCTGCTCATGGTCGCAGCGAGATCGGCTGCATCTGCACGCGAAAAGTCCAATACCAATGTTCTGGTGATGCTGGAGACACGGTACTCTAGGAACTGGGCTTGCTTCAAGCTCTGAGGGAAGTCGGACAAGACAAAGTTTTGTACTCCTAGGGCCATGTCGCGGTAGATCTCCGAGAGAATGAGCGGGCAAGCTATGGAGGCATCCACAGGCTTTCCTGCCAGCATGGCTTTCCTCACGGCCGGCGCATCTGCCTCGTTGGAGTCGGCGTAGCTTTTCAGCAGTGTCGTTAAATTGATGGCCGAGTAACCGTACTGCTTTTCCAGCTTGTCCGCCATATGCTCGACAGGTGCCCCTGGAGGGCCCAGCAGGTAGAGGAAGCGGCAGCTGAAGTAGCGCTTCACCTCTGCAAAGACCTCATCCGGCGCCTTTTCAGCGTTGGCCTTGCGCAGCTTGCCGATCGGGCCATAGTAACTGCACAGAGGAAGAGTCTGCTGGTCGAAGACCTCGAGGCGTTTGCGCACTGTCTCGTCGTTGTCGTCGACTCGACCTGGGTTGGTAGCAGCTCGACCTTTGATGCGACCCATCATCGTTTCATGGCTGGCCTCCAAGTAGAGCATGAACGAGACCTCTGCGATCTCGCGTTCGAAGCGCTGGGCTTGTTCAACTGCACGAGGGAAACCGTCCAACAGAAACCTGTTCGTATCTTGGTTCTTGACCATCGCCTTTTTCAGCAGCTGTAAGACAATGTCGTCAGGGACCAAAGTGCCAGCAGACATGTGTTTCTCGATCTCACCACCCAGGAATGATCCTGCCTTTACCTCCGCGCGCATGAGGTCTCCCGTGCTCAAGTGGATCAAGTTGAACTCGTCCTTGATCCTGGTGCACTGAGTGCCCTTGCCACATCCCGGGCCGCCAGCCACAAAAACAACGAAGGGCGGCGTCTTCAAGTCGCTCTCGCCTGGTTCCTTCTTCAGATCTTCCTCTGTAACTTCAACGATAGGCTTTGACGGCGGCTCGGGCGCAGGTGCCTCGACGACGAAGGCCATGCCGTCCTGATTCACTCCGGACTCCACATACTGGCTGGTGCGAGTTGGTGGGTCAAATGCAGCTTTGGGAGCCTGATTGTTCGGATTGTTTTCGCTAAGCCAGTTGGCCAGCCACTTCACAGCCGCCAGGCCCTGTGGCTTCACCTTGCACAAGCCGATCAAGCCATTGGAGATCAGCTGCTGCATTGTAGGGTCGAGCTCAAAGTCAGTTGCCTGGGCATCAGAAAGGGTCTGCAGATCCATAGAGGCACGCGCGGACTTGCGGAAGATGAAGTCCCTAACCTCATTGTCGTCGGGCAGGGGGTCGACTCCCATCTCTGGGAAGAAGAAGCGGATCTCCTGCACAGCATCCTTCAAAGACTCGCTGCCATGGACAGCATTGCGTTGTCCATCCCTGCCGAAGCGGGCACGCAAGGACCCTGGGCGTGACTTCTTCGCCTCCTTCACCGATGCGTTCCCCATGAGCTGCTTCAGGACCGTCACGGCTTCGACGCGGCAAAGCACCATGGCGCAGCAAGGCCCGCTGCAGGATTCCTTGACCACGGCTGCAAAGGAGGGGTCGCTCTTGCTGCTCCTGCCGTATTCGATTACATCACTGAAATATACCTCCCGTGTCCTTTAGGGCCTCCGTGTGGCTAGGAAGAGATGTCGGATGGCGGGTCCTGTAGAACTCCTTGGCCCGCTCTTCGCTTAGCGTCGTCTGCTTCTCCTTGAGGACCGTGAATCCTGCCGCTTCGATCTCGGTCTTGATGGCCACCTGACCAGTTGCAAGTCGAGAGGCTCAGAGATGGGCATAATCCGCCGAGGCCAGAGGCCCAGGCGTCTTGATGGTTGCCTCAGGTACCCTCCACCTAATCCCCTCCCTGGCCAAATGTTTGGGAACCCCCGTTTTTTGCGCTCGTTTGCCACCCCCTTGGTTGAGAGGCCCCCCTAGCATGTATACAACATCGACTGCCCCCTCGCCCTGTCGCTAAACAGCCGAGGCGGGCGGCGTAGCGTTAAAATTATGACTGATGCTCAACGTGCTCCGCAACATGGAAACTCAGCCACTGAAACCTGATGCAAATCCATGGTTGAGAAAGTCGAGTGACAAGTGGCTTGTCAACTACCCGTAGACCGTAGACGTGTCAGAAGTTGGCAGATGCACTACAGGTCCAGTGACTTCACCACCGCTACCCATCTTCCTCCAACCTTCACGGTGCATGCTTTAGTCAGTGAAGCTTTGAGGAAACCCGGCCAGATTCGCGATAGCATCGGGTTTGACAATGCAGAGTGTGCGCTCCAGCTTCAGCGCGCCGTCTGGGAAGAAGGCTTTGATCTCCTGCGACATCGCACGTAAACCGAGGCACGAGCGTGAAAGCAGACGGAGCCACGGCTCCTTGTCTGCTGCTTCCATGTTGAGGCTAGCATACATGGCGTTGCTGGTGCCATCCGTGCCCCAGAGTGCACGGATTGTGGTTGGAGCGCGCTCACGGGCAACTCCAGAGTGTGATGGCCCACAGATCAGCCTTTGCAGGAGGAAACACGGATTCCAAAGCTTCAAGCCACCCCGCCCGCTTGCATTGTAGACCGCGATCACGATGTTACACAAGCTGAAGCTGGCTGAATTGCAGCTGCGCAGCTGCATCTTGCCAATAGCACCTCTGCCCTCGATGCACATGACAAGGCAACCGGGCTCCGCCATCACCGCCTGGCAAAGCTGTGAGCAAGGTGGAACCTACTAGTAGCAGTGCTGTTACAAATACCGCGAAAAGAGTGTTACCCCCTACTGTACAACCACGAACGCCGAACGCCCCCATGACTTACAGGCACAACTCGCCCTGAAACGGTGACCATGGAAGGAGGGGGCTGGCACCGCCACTGCGTTGGTATGATCTGCGGTGCCATCATACTCCTGAGGTGTCAAATGGCTTCGCTTCTGGGGTTGCTGGTGCTTTCCTCGTACGGCCCGTGATGGCATGTGTTGACCAGCTTCTCGCGTGGTTGTCGTGACTGTTCCCGGTAATACCTGAATGACTGGAGTCCCCACCCGATGTCCTGACAGATGAGCTTCGCTTGTGCTTCATCCGGCGAATGCAGCCTCGTAAGGGGAAAGCAGTGGAAAGCACGGCAAACAACTCTTCCTGCACTATGAATGAAAGCGATTCGACTTGAGATGAGATGTGCAACACATCATCGACTCCAGGCTGCGAAAGTATCTCATGGACGGTACATACAGCTAGGGTAGCATTTGCATGCTTCGCCATTCTGCCGGCCATCCCCAGCACACTGTGAAAGCAAGGTGCTGCTTCGAGACCACGAACAGCCCTAGCTGCGCAGCCTCGTCCTCCCAGACAGTTTAGGTACGCGTTTCGACGAACACTCACTCTCTCATGCCCAGTGCTGGCAACTGGTACGTCCTCGACCACTTGCTCAGCGGTCTTCCCGCCCTTTTCGCCCTGTTGCACAGCATCGGGCTTAATCACCTTGGATTGAGACGACTGCGGTGTCGCAGGTTCTATGGTCCCAAAGGCTTCGTTAAGAGCAGCGACCGCAAGAGTGCGCTCCACTGGCAAGGCATCCAGGTGTGGAAAGAAAAACTCGATATCTCCTCGGTTCCACCCAAGCATGCTGTTTAATTCTGGTGGTTTGGCATCCGAAGGTCTTGGATGTCGGCGCATCAGCTTTGGGAGATGTTTTCGAACACACTGTGACGCAAAGCTACATGCAGTTGCAATGGAGCCTGTTGCAATGAGCAGAAGATTTGATGCCATGTCTGAAATTCGCCCAGATCTCGTTGGCATTCCCACTTGTCCAAGCTCATGTAGAAACTTCCTGTGCAGTGTGTTCTGAAGTGGATTCAGGATGTCGGCTGGCACCAACCACCCCGGCCTTTGCCATACATCTCCTCCAATCCCTGGCAAGAAATAAAGATGCTTGCCATGGGGCCTGCCTCTTCTAACTTCGGGCTCCATCTGCAAACTACACTTTTGCTGGTGTCCTACGTTTGTCCTTAAGTCAGGTGCCCTTGCCAATCGGCTTGAACCTCCTTCATGGCAAGCGAACGCTCCACCACGTCTCCATCCAGGTGCTCCAGCACCAACACCTGGGAGAACAGCGTCACCGAACACGAATTCGGGGGGAGTCCGTACCCGTCTCACCTTTGCCCAGCCCGCCTGGGAGAGCCCGCGGCTGGCGGCCAGCACCGCAGCCTCCCGGGCCTTCGGCTGCAGGTAGTGGAAGTAGCTCTCCTGTTGGCGCAAGTAAACGTAAAGTGTTAGTCGACGGGGAGATGCAGAGACTGTTACGGAAAACTCCGGAATGCCGCTGGGCTGCAGCTTCTTCGGCGAGGTACACCTCCTTGCGTGCTTTAACCTCTAAGTATGCCTGGCGGCGCGGGAATGCCAAATTTCGGAGAAGGATGCTGCACTCGGTCTCGCTCGGCCTCCTCAAACTTGCTGACGAGCTCATCTGCCTTGTAAGATCTTGCGAGTTTCGCTGAGTTGCAGAAGGCTAAAGCGTACCGCCGCGAGTGGAACCGACACGGGGTGATCGATTATAGTCACCTACCTCGAACCCGGTGGATGCCTTTCCCTCCAGGATGAGCTGCGGCATCAGGAGGACGACATTTCGAGTCTTCTCCTCCGAGGCAGGGTCTTTGCGACGGCATCTTGTTCTTCATGATCGCCCGCCCCGTGGCGAAACTACGATGGACCTCGAAGCCTCAGGAGCCCAGTGACTGGTCCCCATTGTCAGTTGCCAATTTGAAATTTGTCGTGATAATTGCATTCGCCAAACGATAGAAAGAGAGGGAGGCCCAGACCCAGAGTGTCATCCTGGCCTCCAAAGCGAGCATGGCTCTGCCCCCACCCTACACTGCAACTACCGGGTGAAAATGGCTTGGACCTTCGAGCCACGGTCGCAGGAAAGCTGCCACTCACCCGACTATACTTATTGGTGCTATCTCCAGCCTCAAGGACTCAGGTGGACCTAGGAACTCGCACCCTCAGGCTGGTGCCGAAAGGCTGATGTAGCAGCCGAAGGACACCAGCAACGGTGGACCAACAGGCCGCACATCGAACAAGGTCGGCACAGTCGGCATCTGATCCCAGCTCTCGAAGACCTGCAACCCATGAAATGCCGTCTCCATGTCAATGTGCCGAGCACAGCCGACCAGGTCGACATGACCTGAAAGAACTAGGCCCGCCACTGGCGTTTCTGGGGCCAACGCCTTGCAATTGCAAGACTCGACTGCCATCTCATCTGCAGAGACATCTTTCTCCCAAGCGACAAAGCCCGGCCTCACTGGTGGACACCGACGAAGCCGCAAAACGAAGGCCAGCCACGCCCGCGAACAGGATCAGGCTAAAGATCGCATCCACCTGAGCAAACTGGGAAGGAGTGCCTGGATACAAGCCAATGATAGCCAATGCAGTCTGGGGAAGTTCTGGCATCCGCTGGCCTTGTAAGACCACCCGAACCAGAAGATCTCACGGGCACAAACCAACACCTGACAAGTGCAGTCTCCCCAGAAGCTCCGGAGAAGCATCTTGCAGCGAGGCTGCCAGGCAGCAGGGGCCGGCGACGGCGCCCACCATCCCCGGCCTGCGAATCGAAGGGAAGGGAAGAGGAGAACTCCTAATCGAAAAGCTGAGCAGCTTGCGCGGAGAGACCCAGAGCAGCCAGAGCCAGAGTCGTGCTACCAAGAAGCCGCAAAAGGACACCTGCGGCGGAGCTGCCAGGTAATTGCAGTTGGAGCTTCTTTTTCAAGAAGAGTTGGCCCGCGGACCTGCCACCAGCCTCGAGCCAGTTGGCGCGGCTATGGCAGCAATGCTTGCACTCACGTCAGCCACTGCCAATGCAGCTGCCTGGCCGATCTGCTCCAAAATAAAGAGAATCTGCCCCTACATGCTGAGCCTGAATCGAACCGTCGATCACCGATATGCCACTCGTCATGAAGAAATCCAGTGTGTAGGTCAGACACCAGCACAGTGCCTCCAAGCAGAGCCAGCCGTTTGGCCAACATGTGCGAGAGAGAGAGAGAGAGAAAAAAAAAAAACATCAAGCTACAGTCCGGGGGCACCGTGGTGGCCAAAGCAGCCCGATACACGATGACCTGCACACTTCTGTTGCTTCTGTATGTTGCCTGCAGTGCTGATGGCTCCCACGGCTGACAGCTGCAAGCGTGTCGGATAGTATAGTTCAAGCCGAGCGAATAGTGATTCAATTGCTGCTCAGGTGCCTGGACTCGCTCTTGTGGTGTGGGACCACCGTCGCCTCCTCCTGTCTTCTGTGTAAAGGTGCTACAACATCGGTGCCCTGGAGACTGCTGAGTCGGCTCGAGTTACAAACCAGCAGAATGCCCGCGTAAATCCACGATGCCTCCAGCTCGACCAGGTTTGCCGGACACAAACGGATCGCTGATGGATTCCTGGCCGACTCGACGTTGGTCCACTGCTACACATACATGCAGCTGCTGCAGCTGAGGCTGAGCCTCGACTACTGCCGGCACCGCCGCCGGTCTTAGCCGCTCCAGTCGGCCAGTGTGTGAAGGAGCAGGTGCCTGGATCTCTGCGGCTCCGGGCTATATCATGTATCCGCACGGGTGCGACTGAGCTGCAAAGGCATTGGATGCATTGAACCGTAGCAGGAGTGCTAAAAGAACAGCCTGAGCAGTTGCCAACATCTTGGAGGCTAAAGCCAAAATTCAGCCAAGTCTGTGGCCACATGTGCCCAGACGACACGGCGATGGCCGGGAGGCCGGCAATATGGCCAAGGGCAAGGCATCAAGCCAACATCGACATGGTAACGAGAAACGTCATGAGTCACAGCGTGCTAGATGCTGTGGACTGCAGCGACTGGTGCGGGGTGTCGTGGAAAAGCTTTGCGGGCAGGCTCGAGCAGGGTAAAACGGATTCTGACTGTAGTTGGCAAGCGTATGTCACCACGATGGACTGAACGTCAGCGCTGCACAGCAGCGCAGCATGTGAACCGGTCTTGAATCTCATTGCTGCACATACACCACCAAAGCCTCCTGCGGCTGCAGATAGCAGCTTCAATAAAGCTGTCCCTGCTTCCCACACCAGGATCTCTGTCCGTGAGCGGCGATGTGCCGACTTGCAAGTTCTTTCGAGGGCGGGGCTATGCTGAGTGGGGCTTCGCATCCTGTCAGACACAAGTCGCGCTTCAGATCTCTAAGGCTGCTTGCGCGATGCGAAGTCTAAGGTATGGACGAGCAAGTCCAGGACGCAGCGGCTTTGCATTGACTTCCTGGAACGGCCATAGATGCTGGAGATTCCAAGGCTTCGACACAGGTCTGCGCGTGTCTCCGCAACCTATGATAAAGCATCATTCGCACATCATTTGTGTGAAGCATCGGGCTCCTGCGGGGGAGGCAGGCGATGCTGAGGTGATGCGGCAGCGGAGATGGCCTGGTGAACAGGCAACCAGAATCGGAGGAACTCGTGCCGATGTCAAAGACACTGCCGGTGCCTCATATGTCAACGGAGGCTTCACACAGTCCAGGTTTTGCTGGCGTCGAGGCGCCTCAGAGCAACGACAGAGCCAAGGACGCGACTTTCTCTTGCTGACGGCAGTCTGACGACCCGGGCGACGAAGTGACCCCCTTCAGCACCAGGTGGTGCAGGCCGCAAAGGCTGCGATGCGAAGGTCTTCCTGCCGCTGTCGTGCTGTCTTTTGCTCGCTCAGGCTGCCAGCACAGGGCACGACGTGAAGTAAAGAGTGCCGTTGCCTCGACATGGGCTGCGGGCCTGCATCCTGCATGGTCGACTGGGGCATAAGAAGGAAACGAACAAACAAACGAAAGAGCAATGAAAGACACAGAGAGAGACACACACATGCACGAGCACACACACACACACAGACACAGACAGACACACACACGCACACAAACACGGAGACACACACGCACGCACACTCGCGCGCGGCTCCTGCCACTTGCATCCAGCCTGATCCATCCTTGCTTGCGATAGTTCCGATCTTATTTTCCGGTGATGCGAGCCTGACAGCCTGCCGCCATGAAGTGCCTGACACCGAGCTCGGCACCAAAGCTCTGGCTTGACAGGGCCGTCCTGCAAACAGCTCTTGGATCTTGCAGTCTCGGATTGAAGACGCAAACTCGGCAACTAAAAAAGCAGGTGTCCTTCTGGAGGGCATCAGCAAGCCTGGCCTTAGAAGTCGGTTTCTTCCCTCCAAGGGCTCACCCTACCCCCTACCCACACCATCGAAGCGCAACTTTTTTCAGCCTTCTGACAAACATTAAAGCATATGTAAGCAAACGGACGGAAATTCCAGGACAGACTTCTCGGATTCGGCTGCACCGCCACGATCTCCGCCAAGTCCCACGGCCAGGCCTCTCTGTTTCTTGCTGGTGCGGCTCGTGCCCTCATCGTAACGCCGAAATCCAAGCAAACGAGCGGGACATGGCATATCTCACATCCGTGTCATGGTGGGTGACATTGATTACATCGCCACAGCCATTGCTCACCGACCACGTCCCTTGCGCTGACGCGCTGCCGCCCGACCAAAGCCTCGACCGCCCTCTCCTTGCACTCTGTGGCATGACTCGCGGCAAGTAGCTGAACATGTCCGACGAGCACCAAGAACTTCCGCTTCAGTGACCATGAAGCACACACTGCTTCGCTATCAGTGCAGGAATGAAAAAGTGTGCCAGCTCCATCACCTGCTTCGCCTGCCGAGTTCAGCCTAGGTCTTGCTTGCGCTGCATCAACTCCATGTTCGTAGCTATCCAGAAAGGCATGTCCTTGCGTGGTGCAGCGGGGGTAGCACTAAAACCACTAAAGCAGAGAACTGCAGGGTTGAAACACCTTGAGTCACTGCACTGGAGTCCAAGAGGCATGAACATTCCTTGGTCTTGTGGACACTCTACGGGCTTTCGTATGTCGCACAGTCTTTCTCTGTGGATCCAAGGCTCAGAAGGCGTTGGACCCGAGTTACCTGCCTGTGCATTGAGAGGTACTCCTCCCGGACGGAAAACTGGTTTCCCACAGAAGCTTTACAGACTGTTCATGAGATTGAGCTCCTCTTCTGAAATGTTGCGCAGAATTGCTGGTGCATCGGCCACCTGCTCGAGCACGAGGGCGGGCATGCTGGCCACAGACTCAGAAGGCGTGAGCAGTGCCTGGCTGTTGTGTAGGAAAACGGCGATCCGCCTCCAATCAATGAGAGTTTCGAAGGGCCTCGGATAGATGCATGACGTATGGAGCGAGGGAAGGGCAGAGAGGCGGAGATACAAGCTTGGCTGCCAGCGGATGAAAGGCATGGGTCAGGAGCACAGGCACACAGCCGTGCAACAGAACCTGCCGACACATCAGTACAGACGCCTCAGGACAAGCCTTTGCACATGTGACACGCGAAACAGCCTTCCATCGAGCACTGGCCTCGTAAAGCCTTGCCGAGATGGATGAGAACCCATCCGGGACAAAACCTGAGCCGACCTACCTATGGATAGGATCCAGCAAAACCTCGGACTGGCCAGGCCACAGAACTTGGACCGGAAGAGGAAGTCACTCCATGGCTTCTTGGGAATTGGCTTTGGAATGACGAGCACCTCCCAAAAGCACACATTCCAGAAGCTGCTAGTAAGTATATAGTAGCACCCTCCGATCATCCCAACCACAAAATCCAACCACAACATCTCAACATAGCGAAGACAACACGCTCGGCAGCACCTCTGCATCGTCCGATGCAGCAAGCTGGCTCGCGATGGATCTTCGGATGCAGCTGTTCCTTGTATCATAGGATTCATTTGTCCAACTCACTTCATCTCTGATCCCAATGTTTCCCTGTCTGTAACATGGTGTCTCCCCCACACGAGACGAGCATCGGAGATGCCGCGTAAAACACGAGCAGGTGCCGATCTTCGGTCTGTTGGGCCTCCGGTGTCCACTCAAAGCTCGTGGGCACGGGCACCACGACATCCTGCATGGGAAACTTTCGCAGGCTGCATGCTTGCAACACTGAATTCGGTCTCGTAGGAAATTCAGACACGAGATGTAGCACACCATGGGGACCGATGGTGGTAGCAACCCTTCGTCCTGCTCGTAGTAAACGAGGCGCCTTGGGCAAAAGGGAAACCAGTCGATGCAGGGCCCTAGATCCTCCTTGGTTTACACGCTGCTCGGGGCCCCCACCTCTTCGATGTGCTGCTCCGGCCTTTGCAAGGATCAGGCGCTGAGTCCGATTCCGGCCGCAACCACGGCTGGTTCCTGCGAAGGTGCATCATGGTGTGCACAGGCAGCCTTCGTCCATCCACTTTGATTCTGAATGTCCTCTTCATCCAAGTCCTGGAAACTGCAAGATACAAGTCATACAACAAGCAGCCCACCGGCCGCTGCCAAGAGCATGTCTGAGCTTCAGGCGTGCCATTTCCAACCTAACGTGACAAGCATTGCAGAAGATGCACGATTCATGTCAGGCAGCTGATCGGAGAGGTGGTCCGCCAAGCAGCAGTTGTAATAGCATGCCAGTGCTGGGTGGCCCTTGATGCCATTGGGTAATCAACTCGCCCCTTGTCCATGGCAAAAACGATGACGAAATTCCTTCCAGGAACGCATGGCCGTAACAGCCGTAACATGTGAAGCACTGGAAACAACTCCATGCACGGGCGTGTATGTATGCATATACATACACGCACAGAGACAGATGTATGTGTGTATGTATATGTGCGTAGTTGCATGTGCATATGCCTCGCCTCCCTGCCCACCTGACGCCTGTCCTGCTGGCCCTGTGTGCCTGCCTGCCTACCCCTGCCGCCTGCTTGCCTGATGGATGGATGTGTGAGAATGTATTTATATCGTGTATGTATGTGCGTGCATGGTGATAAATATGAACATATGTATATATGTATATATGTATATATATATATACATATGATATATGTATACACATCTACATACATATATGGTCAGGCGTCTGGCGTTCCCAACCCCCCCCCCCCCCCAACGGTATGGTCTGCTAGGGGTGAGGGGGGGCTGGCGTGTGCAGAAAGGGGTCGTGGCCGTTGGAGCTGCCCTGGCGGCCAGGGCTCGCATGCAAGCCCTTCGCAAGCAAGCCGTAAACCCTATGACGCTGCGCGTGCCCCTGTTTTGAGTAACCTTAACTTGTACTTCAAACCCTACACCCAACCCTAAAGCCCACCTAGCTGCAGGCTCTAAGCCTAAAGCAAAACATACACCGCAAATCCTCCCTAAGCCCTTGTCGACTTGATTCGTTATACCTTGTAACCGTACAACCAACAATCAAAAGCTTAAGCTAGACCCTAAACCCCAAAACCCCACAACCACCCCACAGGGGGAAGAGGGACCCCACACCCCACACCACAGGGGAAGGGGCGTCCCACCCTATATTACCTATATCCGGACCATTGACCTTTGGGGGGGGGAGGGGGGGGGCGCCGCGGAGCGCGTGACCATATATACATATATATTTTTCTGGGTAAACCCAATAGGTAAGTATGCAGGCCGGTCAGAAGGTGATGTATGATGATGTATGTATACAAGTACATTAGCACACAGAGCCGACCTGCCCTGTGTCTTCTGGTAAGCCGGCGTGGTCTCGGCCCAGTGGATCAAAGGCAACAGGTAGGATTCCTACTGGATCCGAGCTTTGGTCAGCAACTCGATACACTCGGAACACAAGGACGAAATCGGCCGCCATCTCCTGCGCTATCCTCAATGCTTCCCACGTGAGCTTCACCGTGTTAAATCCGGCTCCATACCCTGAGTGTGCAAGGATGGCTACACGCATCTGGGGAAAGGCAGCATTTCAAAACGCACGAAGTCCAAGCTTGAATCATTTTTCTCACATCATACATGTCGCCAGAATGCCGTGCCGAAATCTGAGGATTGCGCGAAGGACATGGTACGCGTACGTGACGCAATGCTCGAGCACCACGAAGTCCGCTTCCTCTGCCGAATTGGCAAGGAACTGACGGTTCATCTCCTTGGCACTCGATACGGAACGACTGCAGAACACAACCGCCCGAATTAAGCCGAGGCTCGAAAAAGTCGGTGTACATGTACTCGAAGCTGTACCTTGATCTTTGGCTCGCTTTCGCTTCTGTCCGATCGAACAATGGCAATGGCACCACACACAATGCTCCAAGGCACATGTGCCCGAAGTACTCACACCTGAAGTATGACAGACAATCAATTCGGCTCCAAAAGAGAGCCACGAGTTCCAGGGAGGAACAAGGAACGGTTTGGGCCTTGCAAGCTCTCTGAGTTCAGAACTCCAGGGCCCGGCCACGTAGTTGCCGAAGCTCCGGCGGCGGACGGAGCACAAAGAACTTGGCATGTAACCTTTCAGCTAAAGCTTAGGAAGCGTTGCAGCTTCTACAAGTAGCCACCAAAGAGGCTGATTGGCAGAGCAGAATGCCGACCAAGAAAGGTCTTCACTGTAGACCCGAAACATCCCGAAGCCTCAAAATCGCGAAAAGTCTAAGCCTTCAGCAACCAAGGAGCGACGAGTTCAGCAAGCCAGAAAAGTGCAATGGTATCCCAACATCCTGGGGTCGAAGGACAAACAAAGGATACATGTGCTGACACCCGACAAAGGTAAGGCGTAGCTGCAGATTTGGATCGGCCAACATACCTTTGGCATGTGGCAGGAAGAGAAGCCAACGCCAAACAGCGCCCGCCATTCATTGCTCAACAGGATCGCTTCAATGCAAGTTGTACTTACTCGCGCTCGCCGCTTGGTGGGAACAGCTTGCCAATGCGCATTCAACGCAAGCATCCATTGATAAATTACAGTTGGATCGCAACCTGTGCAAGCGCATTTTTCCAAGCGCCGGGCAGCATCCAAGCGCATAGACTCCGACTGTTCCTGCGCTTCCCTGGCACTTGCTACACAGTCCACCATCACAGCACTAACATGCCGACGAGAATAAGTCCCCTGCCGAAGCTGCCGCCGCAATCGCTGGCAGGCCTATTCAAAGATACTGCAAACATTGCACCGACCGACCACGACTCGACCATCGCATGTTGCAATGCCTCACCCTGCGGCATTGTGTTTGGACGCGGCATGTCCCATCCTTCTGAAAACATGGCACGATTCTCTCCTGTTCCGCACGTGATCGCACACGTTGAAACTCTGCCAGGAGCCTCCGCGTTCCAATTGCGCCAAACCTTGCTGCTCTAACACTGCACAACATTTTTCAATGTATGTACACCCCACCCCGCAAAGGGAACTCGTAGATTGCTTGACCCAGCTGCTGATTGGCGCAGGGTTGCCCCGTGTCCTCCAGCACCAAAGGTGGAAATGGTGCAACGTAGGCTGGCTTGTGAACTCGAAACTCTTGCTGCCGGGAGGCATGCCATGAATGAAATGGCTCGGTTTCAACGAAAGCCGGTCAAAGAGCCCGACATGCTCTCAGGCATACGCAGTTCCCTTTGTCCCATTTAGATGGTCCATGGTCATGCGCAACATTTTTTTCTGAGTCAGCTACTCCGCCGATAAGAACTGAACAGAACCCGCACCAAAACACGTCGTGGAGCCTTTTCTGCGCTTTGACATTGCCAGCACAACACCCATGCAAACCCTGATCGACCAAACCTCCCACGACCCAAGGCCCAGCTCTCAACCGTAAAACCAAATTTCCTAGCGCGGGTGTGCGGCGGCTATGAACCTACAGTCTAAAGTGGAGAACCGGAGGAGAAGCGGGATTGCAGCAGGCACGTTTTTTATTCCCACGCCAAAACAAACCAATTCATCCTGTTGGGGAATACAGGAGCCGGCGTCAACATTACTTGTTCATACTGCTCATGTCTTTTTTTTCCACGCACACTTTTTGCGACCAGTACGAGCGCGGTCCCTGTGCACCTGCAGTTTACGTGGCGGCGTCAGCCTAGGTCCGCAGCGGGGGCCGGCTGAGGGCAGGGGTTTGCAGCCAGTGCTCGTCCTGCAGGACCTCATGCATGTCTTCTTTTTTCGCCGCGCACTTGCGAGGACCATTTGAAGACAATGCTATTGTTCTTCTACAATTTCGGTACTGGAAATGCATCGTTTAGCTGCATTGTGCTTGGTTGTTGTACAACTTTCGTAATGGAAATGCTTCGTATAAGCCTCATTGTAGTACAACTTTAGTACTGGAAATGCCTTGTTTGGAGTCCTGGCTGGATTCCGCTTGGTCCAGCGTTGGGTTGTGGTACAAGTTTAATACTGGAAATGCCTCGTTTGGTGTCCTGGCTGAATTGTGTCTGGTCGCACAAAATACAACTCTAGTCTTGGAAATGACTCGTATGGGTTGTGGCTGGATTGGGCCTTTTATGCCTTTTTTGAAACCGGACTTGATGACTGCCAGCAGTGCCCTCCTCTGCTCTTCAGCTGAGGCCCGAAAACCGTAACACCGCATCATTCCACTCCGAAGGGCACGTGCCGCCCGCGATGTAGTAGTCGGAGTCGTCGAGACGGAATGCGGCATAGCTTCAAACGAGGGGAAGACGCGTGTGTACAGCTATGCCGGCGGTCCGCCTCCTCCCGGAGTCGATGAGCTGGGGGCCGATGTGTGGCGCGGGGACAAACCACTGGCAGAGCGTGGGCTTGTTGTGCTGGGCACCGCGGTTGGCCACCCGCAGTTCGTCGCAGCGTGGGCAGCACAGCGGCTCCAGACGGAGAGAGAGCTGCTGCACCAGCTCCCGCAACTCCCCGATCTGCAGTGCGCATGGCTTCTCCTGGCAATGTGCGCCTCGCCGCGAGCCCACCACGCGCTGCGCACCGTGCCCCGCAGGCCGTAGAGCCTTATGCGCAGGCACATGACGCAACGCTGTGGGAGACGTTGGAGCTGTGCCTCGGCGGCATGGGCACAGCAGACGTTACACACGCGCAGAACATGTCAACCTTGCCGGCAGCCCTCGGAGGTTTGGGCCTCAGCTCTGCTGTTCGCACAGCGCCGGCCGCATATTGGGCTGCATGGGCCGACACCACTACTTCGAAAGGCATTTCTGCTACCCCCCCCGCCCCAAGGCATTATTGGGTATGATTGGAATGCCTTCCCCCACCCCCCCACCTGGGTCCCTGGATAAGGCACATGCCTGAATAGGTACATGTCTCAGTGCGCGCTCTCTTCCCTTCCAAGCCTCCCCCTTCCCGCAAAGCAACCCCCGGTCTTCGGCCTGAGATGGGGGGGTTGCTTCAAGGCATTTTCGGTACCAATCCCAACCGCCCTGCCCAGCGGGGACGCGGTACCGGCCCTGTGCTCCGACGGTCCGGTGCCAAACTAAAATCCCCGATGCAGGCTCTCAAGAAGGAAGCCTTTAACAGTACACAGTGACTGATACGAATCGGTGATTTTATGCACGCAAAGTTTCACACAAAGCTCACCTGTCTCATGATAGTCCAGACGAAGCTCACAGTTCCCTTTGGCATGAGAACATGCACCCCGGAGACCACGGATTCCTTAGACCAGCCCGAATGTGCTCTTAGCCTCCAAGCGAGCATCGGAAATAAAACAAGTTTTCCTGGGGCATCCGAAAAGGGGGGGGGCGCAAGGCATTAGGGGGGGTCGCAAGGCATTTCAAGGGGGTGAAAGGCATTTTATTGCCTTCCGGGAGCCCCCGTACAGGGGGGCCGCAAGGCATTCTGCAGGAGTAGTGATGGGCCGACGCGTTGCCGGAGCTCCGCAAGCGATCCCCGAGCCTTCGCAGAAGCCTGCACGCGGTTGCTCGCTGCAGGCGGAGGGCGAGCGCAGAGCCTCAAGAGCGCAGTTGAGGCACGAGAGCTCCTTCAGGCGGAAGGTTGGCACGAGTGCCCTTCTTGGGAAGCGATCGGGGCGGGCGCCCGTCCACCGCGTACGACTGATCAGGGCCTGGGTGACTGGCCACATGGATGGCAGTGCTGTGCATCGCGTATTCGCAACCTTTACTTTCGCGAACGCACGCTCCTGCCCTCCCTGTCGCCGTCCGCATGCGCCCTCCTCCGGTCGCAAGCAGGCCCACAGGCCGGTGCCTGGTTGACCGCAATACCCTGTGAGCCGGCCTGCGTGCTTCCGCCCCAAGCAATGCTCCTGGCACTGCGCCGCCGCCTGCGTCTCCCGCTGCCCCTGTGTGCCAGCCGTTGTGGCCCACCCGGATGCGGAGGAGAAGTGCACGCTTTTGGCGACCACGCCCTCGCATGCACTCGCACCGGTCTGATAGCGCGCAGGGCGAAGATCTTGGAACGCGCGTGGGTGCGCGTAGCTCGGGAGGCCGTCGGTCCAGATGGGCAGGTGGTCCCCCAACAGTGGCTCGCGTACACGACAGCACCCAACGTCCGCTCCGATGACCGGCGCCGCCTGGACCCCGTCATCTACGGAGCGACGCCTCTCGGCGGGGCCCTGTGTTGCGACGCCACACTCGTGTCGCCGCTGTCACGCACGGGCTTGCCGCAGCCCTGCGCTGCCGCGCACGACGGAGCCAGCTTGCGGGTCGCCGAGCGCCGCAAGCGAGCCGCCTACCCAGAGCTGAACGGTGGCCCGCAACAGCTGGCGGTGCTCGGAAGCGAAGTCGGCGGCCGGTGGAACGCCGGTGCACGCCAGCTGCTCCGAGACCTTGTGCGTGTCCGTGCTCAGCGAGCTCCGCCGCCCGTGCGCAGTGCTGCTTCGTCGGGATGGGCCAGACGTTGGTGGGCAATGCTGGGTGTGTCGGTACAACAGGCCGTCACAAGCACTGCCCTCGGGTCAGCTTGGCCGACGCCGCCTCACGCGAGCCAGCGCTCAGCCCCAGAGCTGGATCGCGTACTCGACCTTGCGGACGCCGCAGGGCCGAGCCGCCTGCCGCCACGTGGCGGGTAGGGAAGAGAAGGGGTACAGTAGAAGGCTGCACAACAACGTGCGGCAAGAGCAGGACATTCGTGCCATGGGAAAAAAAGCACAAGAAAGACCGGCTGATACCACCTTGTCAGTTCAGCAACCTGTAGAGGATGCCGCCTCCTTTCCCAGATATGTGGCGGGAAGTAGCCAAAGGCAGCAGTGTGCTGCAGCGCCAAACCGTCAGCTCTAGCATTCCTCTCCGGCTTCGATGTACTACAACTTCAGTACTGGAAATGCCTTGTTTGGGTCCTGCTGGATTGGGCTTGGTTGTACTACAACTTTAGCGCTGGAAATGCTTGGTTTGGGGTCCAGGCTGGGTTGGGCTCGATTTTGGTGCTGGAAATGCCCCGAGGCAAATGGGCCCGACGGATGCGGGCAGCGGGTCATCCGGGGCCGCAGGGACTTTTAGCAGCAGGGCCAACAGCATTTGTTTTTTTTCCGCTCCCTTTTTGCGTTTGCCGGAATGAGTGGTCCTTGGTCTCCTTACACAGCTAGCCTCCCTCCTACTTCGGCCCGCAAGCGGATCAGTCACCCTCGAAGCGGCAGGGTGCTGGGCCCCGCCGCGTCAGCGAGGTCCAACACGAGCTCGCGAACAAGAGCGACGGCTCCTGCGCTCCAACGACCCCCAACCTCCGAGCCGAGCACAACGAGGCGCTGGGGACCGTTGCGGAGGAGCTCCGGGTATGTCGCCTCTTTGCGGCGTGTGGCCGTGGCGAGCGCTACCCCGTTTTCATCCGCTGCACGCCCTTGCGGCTGGCCATCTCGCGACACGGGAGAGACCAACGTCGCGTCGCAGCACAGTGCCCCTCCCCAAGGAGTGACGCCGTAGATGACCATGTCAAGTCGGCGGCGGT